TTAAATAAGCTAACATTCACACAGGATGTGTGTGGCTGTTTCGTTTTCTGTCTGACACCTCTCACGAGTGGGACTATCACTTAGTCCCAGGTTGAACAGGTGTCCTTTGAGGTGACAGTGTCCTGTAAGTAATCCTACCATCCATCGTAGCTGGTTCCTGTTTAGTTTCAACAGTTCCTTCGCTCTTTTAGTGGAAGGTCCTCGTATGAGTCCCTTTGCTTGCCTGAGTCCAATTAAGGGTCGCCAGTACTACTACTGCTACTGTTACTACTGCCACTTACTACTACTGTTGCTACTGCTACTACTACTACTACTACTACTACTACTACTACTACTACGTAATTTAGGTTTCTCTGTAAGCCGAGTGAAGTCACCTCTAGTTGTAAGGCGTGTGTTGTTTTCTGAGTTCAGTTATTATTTTTATAAAGTTGTTAGTAACGAGATAACTCTAGCAAGATTTAACTCTCTTGACGTTCGAGGCATGGCCGCGGTTACAGTACTAGCCAATAGGAGACATGCAGTGTTTGTATATAAAACATAACTCCAATCTTCCGAGTAAAGAATTTATCTAAAAACTCGAATTTTGTATTTGAAATTCAGTACAAAGTATTTCGAATTATCGAGATTGCACTTTGTGATATATTTGCTCAAAGCGATAACTGTGAATCCAGTAAAACAGACATTGTTAGATAACGGCTATGTGAGACGCAACAATGGATTTGGAAGCAGTATTCTCTTTGCGGACCGTACCTGGACTATATAACGAGGATCAGCTATCATTACAATAGAGGAATAGGAAGTTGGTGTGAGATGGTCGCCAGCCTGCGAGGACGTCAGCCCGGGAGCAGAGGAACGTCCACTGCTGGAAGACGCTACCAAGTGAAGTCCGTGACTGAGAACAATATCCTGCGTGTGATAGTAATTTGTAAAGTGTAGCCACGAGTTGTACAATTGTTCAGTCTATTCTGTTACCAGTCCACACCGTGTCAATAGTCACTCAAAAGCATGATAATGTATTTCATTAAATTATGCAAGTGATTTTTTTCCATTGGTGTATTCTTACTGTCATATGGGCGTGATGCAGTTCAACATCGCGGTAATTCCCCTCTGTAGAGACTTGATCACGTGGACTGCTGCACGCTTGAAGTTGTACGCAGTTCCTGTCCATTTATCCTCTTGCTTATGATTCTCTGTCCCTGCCGACACGGGCATCACAAGGAGAGGATGGACAGTCGTGGGCAGGAAATCCTGTCTAATCCGAAATAGTACTAACTCCACTATTCTTCTCTTCAAATTAGCTTTCGTACCTGCAGCACACTCTGTACGCATATTCACGAACTCACTCATGCAGCTGAGCCCTTCTTGAGAAGCCGCCAATTGTGCAGCTACTCAAGAACTTCCCAGCATTTTACGGAACCCGAAGGTTCATTACCGTGTTCACAATAACCCTCCACTAGTCCCTATCCTGAGCCAGATCAATCCAGTGTATATCATCCCATCCTCTCTCTCTCTAAGATCCGTTTTAATAATATCCACTCACCATGTCTTGGTCTTCCTACTGGTCTCTTTCCTTCTGGATTTGCCACCAGTTTCCTATATGCATTAATCTTCTCCCCATTTGTGCTACATGCCCTGTTCGTCTCATCCTCCTCGACTTGATAACAGTAATTATACTTGGAGAAGAGTACAAGTTATGAAGCTCCTCATTATGTTGTTTTCTCCAACCTCCTGTCACTTCATCTCTCTTCGATGCAAAAATTCTCCTCAACACCCTGTTCCCAAACACCCTCTGTCTATGTTCCTCCCTTAATGTCAAGAGACCAAGTTTCACACCCATACAGAACCACAGGCAAAATTATAGTTTTGTTTATTCTGATTTTTATGTTTTTATACAGCAGACGAGAAGAAAAAAGGTTCTGGCCTGAATGGTAGCAAGCATTACCCGAGTTCAATCTCCTCTTAATTTCCTCCTGAATCAGGTTTTGATTTGTTACCGTTGCTCCCAAATATCTAAACTGTGCCACATTTTCGAAACATCTGTTACCTCTCTTTATGTCATGATTTTGCCCTGCATTTTGGTGACGAGACAGCAACATATATACTTAGTTTTCTCTGTGTTTACTTCTACACCAACTTCCTTACTACTGTGAATTAATTTGTGTGTCTCCCTTTATGATGTCTCTATTATCACCCAGTAGACTGATGATGTTCCTTTTATTAATTGCAAATATTTTGATCGTAGACTCACGAGAATTTTAAATCCGAATGTCTAATAGGTTACTCCCAGGTTCGATCTAATCGTAAGTCACTTTTTGACTTATATTAATTAATATTAATAATTAATTTTCCCTAGAAACTGATGATACAAACTTGAGCCTGCTTCGCCTTGAAACTAAGGAGTCCTGCAAGTCTGATTCCAGGGAATATTCCATAAAATTCGAGGTTCTGAGGAGAATTTATGAGTGTTGTCTTCCTTTAGATTCAAACTACTGTCTCTGTGCCTAAGTTAATTAAGCACTACGCCATGAAGGCGTATGGGAGAGTGGATGTATAGGTCCATATTTTCTTGATCTCGGCACTATTTGCAGGTCAGTGGTCAGCTTCATACCCCGGCCGTTTTACCCCCGAGGAAAGAGCTTCCGGTATCCATTGGTTAAGAGGCTGGGTGTGCCCCAGAACCGGTCTTAAAGACGCGAATAAAAAAAATTCTTGACCCTACCAGGACTCAAAATCTGACCCCTCGGTCGTCCAGCCCGTAGCCACTCGCTTTCCTTCAGAGTATAGAGTCTAAGTAATGAACTGCCCAGTAGAACTTCAGTACATCTTTTAAATTATTTTCTGTTACAACTGATCGGTTTCTAACCCTTTCAGACCTGAAATGTCACAAGGAAGCCTTCACTTTCTGCTTCTGCTTTCATCTTGGTATCTCTTTCTGTACCGTCTCATTTTTATTTCCTCGTTTTCCTCCTGTTTTACCCTATATCTCCTTCCTTTTCGTCTTCATCATTCCCCTCTTGTCACTCTTCCTCAATTTTTCTTTCACTTTTATCTCCATTCTTTTGCTACTTCTATTTCCTATATTTTCCTTTATCTTCTTCCTTCTACTGCTCTCTTCTGTTCTTCCTTCTACTTCCCTTTTCCACTTTTCTTTCTTTCCTTTCTCTAATATCTTCCTTCTTCTTTGCTTCTATTTCTTTTTCTTCTTTATTATCCACACATTTTCTCCTTTCCTCCCTTCTCATTCTTCCTCTTTGTCCTCAGTATCCTGACCCACACCATCTTGCGTTCGGATTCTGACAAGGCAGTAGTCAGCACAGCGCCTCTGCGGGCAGGATGGGCTGCCTGGTATTACAGAAACACTGAGCGTCTCTTGCCTGCAATAAACTCTACTGTCCGTCTAATTGGAAATTGTTTATTCTATCAGACGTAATTCACAACGAATTTCCTTCAGTTCGTGTAACATGCAGTATTGTGTATTGTACCGTGACCTACATTCTCTTCAGAACGAAGTGATGACCCTTCAGGTACGTGTTTACGTTTCCAGCTCGTGTAACAAACTGCATACGGGATCTAGAGGCAATATGGACGGAGATATCTGAAGTAACATCCGTCTCTCACAGGACAAGACAAGTACTCGTGTACTCCGCGTTGGAGAGCTTCATTTCCTGTCGGTTATGCACTCCACCACACAGACCTGTTTCGATTCGTAATTTGGAGACAGTAGTTTCAGTGCACTAATTAGCAAGGATACGAAGTACTTGATATTAACACATCCTGATGTAGGAGCTTCAGCTAATGAGAAGTTGAAGTAAGAGTTTTTGATAAGCTAGTAGTCGCTCAGGTAGTCAAGAGATTGCTCTTCTGTCAGTAAAAAGGTAAAAGGTAAAGCCATTCGTGTAAAAGGCCGTGAAGGCCCATAGGTCTGTGAGACGCCGAGGCTCCCATATTTTCTAGGCAGTCGGATCACAGATGGCAGTAAGGTTGTCAGCCTTACGGCCCGGCCGCCTTTTACCTCCAAGGAAGATTCCTGGTACTCATTTCTGTTAGAGGCTCAGTCGACCCAAGGGCCATAGTGCGGCTGGAAGGATTAGGTCAATTGAAAACCCCAAAGACTTTGGCAACACCATTTGACAAACATAATAATGCAGTGCATTAACTGGAATAAAATTGAGTTGATGAATTAGAAATCTCATTCACTTCCCTATACACGGACAAGTCATTGTGATTTTATGCAGGGTTATGGACAGTATCTCCTGTATTTTAACGCCAATTGTCTGCAAGATAACTCATCGGCACGTACCACATAGAAAACACAGCCTCTCTATTGTTTAGGCGTGTTTACCGCGGCCACATGTTTATCAAGCCGTTGCTTAGAAACGGGCTACTAATCCCGTTGTTCTATAGTTGAGTGCATGTGTTACTTACCAACAACTAATGTTTACAAATTCACCTCTTAGCAACAGGTCTATACGCCGCAGAATAAACGAAAGTAGGCCATTAGTTCTTCCTATAACTTCTTCTATGTTTTTGTTAATATTTACTGATTAATTTCATTCCTTCTCCCAGCCAGAGGCGAAAGAAGAGTTACCCATTTCCATATTAAGGCGGCACGACATGAAGACTTACCAAGTAGTGGAGGTATACATCCACGCATTCTTAACTTCTGTTCAAGATGATGGCGATTGGTCCCTACCTCCCTACCTCTTTATCCCAGGGAGGAGTCTCCGGTTCCCATAGGATAAAAGATAGTCAGGCACCAGGACCCTTCTGAACCCTGCCAGGAATCGAATTCCGAATTCTCGGTCGTGCAGCCTATCGCTAGTCACTGCACCAACTGAGCTATCCCTTCTAAAAATAGAATCTGTAAAGCGATTATTACAGAGAAGATCTTTTCTTCCGAAGACGGTCAAAATAATTTTAACTTTTTAAAATTAAAACAACATTTCCAGCTTTGGGGCCGTGGAAATGTGTACTATTCAATATGTTTTGATTTGCTTCAGGGCTTGAAGATTCTAGATGCTCCACCCAGAACCTCAGTGGCCAGGAGGAACACTTGCTGACTGCCATGAAATGAACCAGCCGAACAAGATTCTTCGTACCTCTCTGCAATTTCCTCAACATGTACGTAAGTAAGATTTCATGAAAGTAATACATAATCGCTTTGCGTTTACATTTTGCTTGTACAGTGTTTTCGCATTTTATGCGAAGATGCGTTCCTGAAGACCTCGGAAAATTCAAGACAAGTTTTCGCAATGTTCTGAAACACGCGTGATTCTTCTTTCTTTTTTCCTTGGCGCTACAGCCCCAGTGGGCCTAGGCCTACCTCCATGAACTTCTCCGTTCACTTCGGTTTTTCTAGATCTTACACATTCGGTAGGACTCCTTGGGCGGGTGATCAGCTCGTCGCAAGGCTTCTACCTGCACACAAACACAGAAGAACGCACACACACAAACTAAACATCCATGCCCTGAGTGGGATTCGAACCCACGATCCCAGTTTCCAAGTGAGCGAAGACAGTACATGCCTTAGACCGCTCGGCTGCCGTGACCGGCACACGTGATTTTTACCAATTTTTATTTTGGAATTTACATTATATAAAACTTTGCACGTAAAGTGGCACTCTATTAGTACTTCTTTATATCGTAATGTTTCAAATTCGCATCATTCAAATTTTCACAAAATATGACTGCACAGAACATCATTTTGCATTATTAAACCGAAATTTACACGTCAGTATACCTCCAAATAATATTTGTCGAAAAATAAGGGAACAGTTATTTTCAGTGCTCCAACTGTCAACATCTTTTTAAGTTTTATTTTATGTTCGGATTGTCAACGTTTTAGTCAGAGAACTGCTTAAGAGAGAGGCACTTCCGCACATTTGTCTCTCTAATTGTGTCTCTGTGACCCCCTTTGTGGTCTAGTGGTCGTTCCTGGCTACAGATCCAGAGGTTCCGAGTTCGATTCCCGGCGCTACCAGATTTTCTGAGAAGTAGTGGGTCTGGAACGAGGTCCACTCAGCCTCGTTAGGGTAAATGAGTAGCTATTTCAAGGAAATGCAGCTCCTGTCTAGAAAACCGAGATTAACGACCTTGAGGATCCGTTGCGCTGAACACGCAACACCCTCTATCTACTAAAGTTGACATTAACTTCGCCGACAAGCGGCGGTCGCTCGGTCGGTAAGTTCGTTTGCGGACTACAGGCCATAGAGTTTGTTTTCACGTAATTGTGTCTTTGTGCTTGGGGAAATGAGGGCCAATCCTCGTAGTCCGCCCAGGAGACGATGCCAGTTGATAACCTTTTCCTTACATTGAAGCGTTCTGGAACTAACAGCCATGTAAATAAGGCGTTAGTACCCAAGGTTTCGGAGACTGTTTCCGACTCCATCATCATCAGCGGTCTATGTGATAAATGTCGCGCCCGAAATTTGTATTTAGAGAGATACATTTTGGGAGGGGCATACCAAGCCTACGGCCTGTCACATCAGTTTCAAGCATGGAAATTATCTAAGACCTAAGCGCTGCTCATTAGCCTGGGTGTTCGTCAACATGTTGTTGATTCACATTAAATACAGTATCAGGTATGATTATCTGGTTGTTCCAACGTATATCATTGAAATAAATGTTTTAGGAGTCTAATTTCGAAACAGAGTAGACGGCGTCACTTACCACAAGGCAGTAATCTTCTTATTTCGTGCGAACCACAAATATCATAACTTCTCCGTAACTGTTTAGTGAATAAAATGTAAACCAATTATGATTCTTAAGAAACAGCGGTTAGTTATAACACAGTAACACGTGACGTGTGATTAGGTAATAAAATATCGTTTTATAATTATTCCTGATACGTAGGGAGAGAGGTCAGTATTACAAATTAATTCAACAGCAGTATAACAAAAGGTGAATCAAATTTGATGTTGAACCAAACGTCATCCCAGCGTGTGTCCACGCGCACGCCTACACGCACGTCTTGCAGCGGTTCCTCTCTCAGCGGGCTCCATTAATGATCTGAATATAAATTTATACAAACCAAATTACATCATGACTCAGTATTCTTACATATACAAACCCCTACAGTGTCTCAGCCCTGCCTCCTTATCATCTCATGACCTCTACATTAATTATCCATACATCAAACCCCCTGATGATAGTCATTTTTTCAGGTGTTTTTCTTTTTTGGTACAAATTTATATGAAAAAAATTGTATGACTGGTCTTATTCTCATGAAAAACTGTGCTTCATTAAAAGGATTCTCTCATTTCTTAGTTTTGTTTCAGAAATATAAACATAATGCTATAATAGGATGTGTTGATAATATTATATATATATTTTTTAAATTGTATTCATTGGATATTCTTTTCTATCACAAACCTTCATGAAATTTATTTAGGACAGTTTAAAACTAAGTTTTATACTGAAAAATGTTGTTTATTTTCCGTTTAGTTTATCAATGATGGTGATAAGTAAATTAAAATTTCCGAGAGTATGGCAGGTTTTATAAAAAATATATGCAACTTCAGAGAATTGGCTGTCATAAATCTGCAAAAATACATTGTAATTAGGAGTTTCTAATCTACCGTATTACACGTCATTGCATCCCCGAAGGTAAAAAAACTCCAGTGCCTGTAGTCCGCAAGCGAACTATACCGACCGAGCGACCGCAGCTTGTCGGCGAAGTTAGTGCCAACTTTAGTGGATAGAGGGTATCACGTGGCCAGCACAATGGATCCCTATGGCTGCTAATCTCGGTTTTATAGACCAGAGGCGTTATTTCCTTGAAATAGCTCCTCAATTATCCTCACGAGGCTGAGTGGACCCCGTTCCAGACCCACTACTTCTGAGAACATATGTTAGAGCCGAGAATCGAACCCGGGACCTCTGGATCTGTAGTCAGGAACTCTAACCCCTAGACAACAGAGGCGGTCATCATCCCCGAAGGTGGGATCCTTCATAATGACGATTGTGGGAACATGACCCCAGCGTCAGTGTACGGTGTTTTCATACTGTGTTATGGTCACTGTGTTGATTCTTACAGTGGGCATTCACTCACAGTCATAACTCAAGTTTCTGCCGTGTTCTTCTTCGTCAACTGTTTGATTTTATCTTTTTGGTTTTGGAGTGGGAGTCAAAGGGGGAGAGAGAAGGGGTACATGAAGGGAAGTTTATCAAAATAGTACACACAGCAGGTTGCAAATTAATATGTTATGCATCCATCGTCAAAGACAAGCACAAAGAAAATATAAAAAGCGATAGAAGAAACTACGAAGAACCTTACTGTAATGATGATGGAGAAGAGGAATAGGAGGGAGACATCGGGTTGATTAAAATTGTCTGGCAGCATCGGCGGAGGTTTCCTCTTCAAAAGTTTGTTCGGAACTTGGTCTTGGGCGTTTGGAATGAGAAAGTCCTTCAGATTGTATCCCTTACTGAGGAATAGGCCTTTAGACCATCACATCTCAGCCTCTGCCGCCTCCATATACTGATGCACCCAGGAAGGCGGACGAACGCTTGAACGAAATGTATAAAATAACATTGAAAACTGTGAAAAACAAATAAAGGATTGAAGAGTTTTGTCTACTCGCATATAATTCCGTGTAATCAGTTAAAAATGTCAATCGACTTTTCGCAGTAATATATTGATTCCATCTTCAGGTTTGAAAAATAAATAAAGCATTAAACCAGTTCGGAAGCATGTGGCAAACAATAATTGGCAGAGCATCGGGCCGCGCTGGGATCTATGGCCATATTTTGGTTTAGTGTCTAGACCTTTGTTTTTTTTCCCTATTCATTTTTTTTTAATTTGTGTTCACTTTCTGCACCTTATTCCAGAATAATCGGCTGCCAAAATTTCGGGTCATATATGAATCAGGGGGGAAATGGAAGACGGCAGTTCCGTTCCCATTGGCTCGCCCGAAAGGCAGGATGAACTGGTTTTCAGATACAACCAAGCGAACCAACAGGAGACACCACAATAACAAGGCGGGCCCTGAAAGATGACGTTTGTGCAGATGAAACAAAAGATGGAAGGGAAGTTTGAAGGGTGCGGTGGACAGAGAACCTAGAGGTATAGCCGCAGTTACTAGCCCTTTTTATTCTGTTGATAAAATATTTTTAAGCTATCCCTGTAACAGGCCATGGAGGCCCATAGGATTTTGAGACGTCGAGGCTTCAACATTTTCTAGACAATCGGCTCACAAATGGCTCACAGCCTTACGCGCTGTCCGCCCTTTATCCCCATAGTGCGGCTCGAAGGATTAGGTCAACTGAAAAAGAAAATCCACCTCATAAGGACTCGAACCCGCGACCTACCTGTTTGTAGCATAGTGCCTCAATCAACTACGCTACAGCGCATCACTTTATATCGTGGAGCTTAACTAATCTTTGTAGACGCATTCAAATTTTGGTTAAAATCACGTATAAATAATGGATGCTTTAGATGAAGACTTACATGCATTTCTGTTCTCATCAGAACGAAAATATTTTGGAGGAAAGTTGTAGAGAAAGATGAGGCACGCACTTTATATCTTGTGCAATTCTTCTGTAAGACTTATAGTTTTCCAAACAATGAAAGAGAATTTACCGAAAGTTTCGGGTTCGTTTCGATACGAGATGATTTCCTAACTTCTCTATAGATAGATTGCATTTTTGTCACCCTTCTACAAATATCGTGTGTTCCTGATCCATTTCTCTTCCCCCCTCCACAGGAATATCATCAACCCTGTAGTGGCAAGCACTGTTAGCAGGACCGGCAAGTGCTTGTGGCGTTGTTCACACGCGCAAACAACAGCTGTGTGTATACCTTATTGTCATTATCAAGCTGGAAGCTGAGGGGGTGTGGTGTTGGTGGTGACACTGGCTATAGAGTGTTATGGTAGCCACAGTACACCACAACTCTCCAGTCAGAAGCACGATTAAGGTTATATTTTTGGTTGTTTTCCGTTCTGGGAATACGGAGACGCTTCAAACGGCAGAGAGATGTTATATACATATAAATAAAGGGTTTCTTTGTTAAATTTGTATTATTGTTCTGCTCACGAACTTGTTTGCCGATATGTGAGATATTGTGACATATAAACCCGTTGCTAAGCGGTGACTCTGAAAAGAGTGA